GATGATGTGCATTGCATGGAAATTCACAGTTAGTATTAACCTCGGGATCAACCGATTAACCTCGGAATAAGCCAATTCTCTCACTATTTCTAGTTAAATCAGATGAAAGAATCAAGCAATCAACGCCCAACGGTGCTTTGAACAAGGCATCTCTTTTAGCAATTAGCAGTCATCTCGAGGGCCACAAGAGGTCGAACACAGCTTAACTTCTGTCTTTTTCTATTTTCTATATTAGAATGGTTATCAGAATAGTCAGATTTAGAGAATGGTATTAGGGTATAAACGCCCACTTCAATTTATAGGGTTACACTTTTCACAGAACAACAGTTATAAAAAGGGAAAAACGGGAAAAATAGTATATTATGTAACAAGTGTTATAAACGTCCTTCTAGTAACGAGTATTTTAAGTACGAGCGGAGCTATAACTACATTTTAATATGACAGAATAGTCACATACGGATATACCGAGGGATATACTTATAGCTAGTTCCTTATTATTGTATGTACTTTCATTCTAACCTGCTGTTATAAGAAATGATTCTCAATGTATGTTAGTACCTACCTCACAAATTTTGTTAGTCTTCAAATTAATTTTCCATCCAGGCTGTTTTATACATTCCTTTCATAAGAGAATGGGATATTTCCATTGTTAAATCAAATAAATAAATTCCATATTCTTTTCAGAATTCCCATCTCATTACACAGAAGGACATTTTCATCTATACTAACGACTATGGTGCTCTTGTCACAATTTTTGTAACTCAATAAATCTACCAATCTAAACATTCAAAAACACTAACAGTTGTCATTTCTGTGCCCGAACTCTTATCTTATAACTCTACTTTAGGTTATCCACAAGTGACTTGATTCTTTACTATGTTAATAGACTCAACCTCAGACTAGAACGAGGGCTCAATGTTCAGTTCAAGGCCAGTCTCTTCTTGCTATTATTGGGACGTGAAGATGAGTGACAAAGAGCAAAGAAAAACTGTTTCGGCTAGCCAAGCCTCATCAGATGCACTAGGCCAGCTGACAATCGATTCAAGAAGGGTACCTCCATTCCTCCATATTATGCAAAGCTTTGAGATACTTTTCCACAATGAATATTTTTTTTGAAGAACTTATGACCTCGATACGCACGAGGTTGCTGGAACAATATAGGGATTCTCCTCTGGATTCTCTAGGGATTATCTTTTGTGTGCTTGAAGAGATAACAATAATTTCGAATGCCAGAGGCTAAATCATCCTCTTGCCTCACCTATCTTTGGAGTTGTACCATACAGCAAGGTCACGAATTAATTTAATTGAAAATCCAAAAATATAGTAAGGTTCTACGAGGTTCTATATACAGGGTGAGTCTTAACTATTGGGACATAGGCTAAGGACGGATTGTTTGGACCAAAATATGGCAACAGGACTAAATATGCCTTTATAGAATATTGCTGTGGAAAAAGATACAGGGCGCTGAAGTTGACTTTTTATTTTCGTTTTTTGCCAATAATTTCAATGTATATTCATCAATTGTTATCAAAATTGGCACAGAGGCATAATTTCATACAGAGAATATTATTTTATGTACTTTTCTACATTTTGATACAAGGGGCGCCACGCGGCGCCACGTGAATGATTCCTAATGATGAAATCGCCTGATTACTTTTTTTGACGAAACTTTTGAGTGATTTTGATTGAAAAATATGACCTAAACACCATTTCTACGTAATATTGGTACTCTTGTTTAAACATGATATTTTCATCCGTTTTCGATAAAAACGCTATTGAACAGTTCAGAGTCTTAGAAGTTAATTACAAATATTATTTAATTCATGAAGAGTGTGCTTTGAACTGTCAGATAATGTTGCTGGTAATGGCATTTTTTGTCAGAAAATGAATTTTGGTGCGAGTTTATAGTCAAAATTGTTTCGATTGAAATGTCTCGTCACAATCATTTTATGAATGAATAAATGCGGGATGCAACCAGAAGGTATGAATTGTAATATCTCTGATATCTAGACAGAAAGCAACCAAATCACAAAAAATTTTCAAATATATTTCATATACAGTGAAATTATTAGCAAAAAACCGATAAAAACGAAAAAAATCTACTTAAACGCCCTGTATCTCTTTTCACAGCAATATTTTATTAAGGCATGTTTGGCCCAATCGCCATATTTTGCTCCAAACAAACCGCCCTTAACCTATGTCCCAATAGTTATGACTCACCCTGTATACGATTTTTTTTTTATAAATACATATAATCGACACATTGAAATGATACAGTCTAACGAATATTCCCATGATCCCTATATTTGTTTTATTGGTGCCACTAGTATACGTCGAGCTTTCTCAAGTCTTGAAATATTTGCACTTATTTCAATGCCACCCTGTATAGTGCCATATTCAAAAATACTGAATGCTTAATGAATTTTCCTAGGAATTTTCGTGAAAAAAACACCTTGGAGAGACGATTGATTGTTTCAAATCTAGTTTTTACAACGAAAAAAATACTTCCAGAAAAACTCGAATATTTCAATATAGATCATATTATCAACTGTTTTCCAAAAAAATATAATTAGGACTAGGCCTGGGAAAAAAATCGATATCTCGAATAACAATAATTTGAAAAATATCGATATATTGAAATATTGTTATATTGATAACCATCGAAATATCGATAAATAAGAATTATAAAGTTATCGATATATCGATAACTATCGATTTTTTCTCAACATCACGATGTTCTGAATATTCGAGATAGTTCTATCGTTTTATTGTTCACAAAATTGAGTTGCTTCTAGGAGTCACACAATTAAAATGAGTTTGATTTTACCGATATGTGGAGACAACATTGATAGTTATCGATATATCGATGAATTTATCATCCTTATAATATATTGATGATTATCAATATACCAATATTTTGATATATCGATATATCGATATATCGATAAATCGATAGTTATCGATATATCGATGTTTATCTTATTTATCGATATATCGATATTTTGATACTTATCGATATATCGATAAATATAGATATATCGATATATCGAACTTATCGATGTTTTGACTTATCGATAATCGATATGTGAAATGCAATATCGCCCAGCCCTAATTAGGACTAGGGCTGCGTGATATTAGATTTCATTTATCGATTATCGATGATTCAAAACATATCGATAAGTTCGATATATCGATATTGTGAAATTATATATCGTTAATCGATGTTTTCCCACGCCTAACTCAAAATAATCTCATTTTTAATCCAAACCAAAGGTTATAAAATCTTCAACCAAACTGATTAAATCAGCATAAAAACTACCTACCTACCTACGCATCACAAACAACAAACCTTTGAAAAAAATCAAAACTAATTTAAAAAATATTAGAACTATTGTCTGGACTCTGAATATTACCAAAGCGTCTAGGGGTCACATAAATAAAACAAATTCATTGTTTCCAATATAAAGTGAAGAAATCTATAGTTATTGATAGTTAATGATATATTGATATGTCAACTCACTTGAATTCCACTCTAGAATGGCATTCAGCTGTGTAAATTTTCTAAAAAATATAGTTTTTCACGGTTTTTTTACGAGGTTTTTCATGAGAGGGTCATCACATGGGAAGTTTGGAATACAGACTTGGGGAAGTTTGAGGAAGTTTGGAAAGTTCCTAGGAAAGTTCAAAGAAGTCAGGAGAAATTCGAAAAAGTATTGTGATGTTCATGCAAGATCAAGGAGTAGAAAAGGAGATTTAAGGAAGAAGATGGAAGTTTGGCAAAATTTAAGGAAATTCATGGGAGTTTGGTGGAGTTCTAATTAGTATGGGAAGTTTTTCCTATGGGTAGTTTGGTGTCACTTTAAAAAACACCTTTTTGGCACCGTGATTACTCCCTTGGGTCCACAGGGTCCACCTATGGTATCATCCAATATTATTCATGAATAATTGATAAGTTTCATTTCAAAATATATTTATAATGAAAATTCGACTATGTGGTACAATCGAGGGTACAATCCTATTTTGATGCCAAGTAATGGTGATTCAGAGGGTGGTTTATAAGCTGTATAGATATGGATGAGGGGTGCACCTTGGTCAAAATCTTGTACATCAAACTTTAATGTCACAAGGAAATCCAAGGAATTTCAAGGAATTCCAGTTGTTTGTACACTAAAATTATACTGCACTTTACACAAGGAATTTCAAGAAACTCCAAGGAATTCCAGGCAATTCTAAGGAAATCCAAGGAATTCCAAAGAAATTCATGGAATTCCAAGGAAATCCAAGGAAATCCAAGGAAATCCAAAGAAATCCAAGGAATTCCAAGAAATTCCAAGGAATTCCGAGGAAATCTAATGAAATCCAAGGAATTTCAAGAAAATCCAGGGAATTCCAGTTGTTTGAAAACCAGAATTATACCACACTTAACCCAAAGAATACCAAGGAAATACAAGGAATTCCAAGGAAATACAAGTTATCTTAGGGAAATCCAAGAAATTCCAGTTGTTTGGAGACCAGGAATATACTGCACTTAACTCAAGGAATTCCAAGGAAATCCAAGGAAGTCCAAGGAAATCCAAGGAAATCCAATGAATTCCAGGAATTCTAGTTGTTTGTACACCAGAATTCCACCGCGATTTACCCCTCGGATATAGACTAGGATATAGACATTCTCAATGATATGAAATTTGCACTCCAGATATAGCTCTTTCAATATCCTGAACTCGATCCAGAATGACTAATAACATTATTTACTTGTATCATCCTATCACGTTATATAGAGTACTTATTTACTCATTAGAAAAATACTCGGAAAAATCTATGAAATTTTTCATCAACAAAAATTATTGAACTTCTTAGGATAGTGAGGCGGATCTTGACCATACAAAGGAGAAATGAGCAAAAGTAAAAGCTTTGTCCCCGATTGCACAGGTCAAATCCGTTTATTAAAGTTTTGAATATTTCTCGTCCTAGTTTCAGATCGTTTCGGATTCATATCCTACCTGCAACCTAGATAGAAAATCCGGACTTGGGGTCCTCTCAGAATCACTCGGTACGGATATTAACACTTCAAATACAGTATGTTCACTATGAGTTTTTTGGAGAGAACACTTCTCACTCAAAATCGCAGAAAATAACACTGAAATTCGGTCCACATTATCTCTCAGTAATTGTGTGCACGATCGTTTTATTATGACTGTACCAACAACTGATTTTGACATTTTTTCTTATTCCCATGCTTACATGTTTATATTACTTCTTGGTTTAAGGTTTTTGTCTAAATAAGATATTGAGAAAATTAATTATAACGAAGATGTAGCAAAAGCAAATATTTTGAAGATTTTTCTTTCAGTTTCACAACTACACAACTCTGAATTCTGACATTGACAAATGACAAGTCTGACATTGAACATTTTAAGACATCTTCTACTAACCTTGATTTCGATGAAATGAAAATGAGAAAACACTTTAGAGTCTCGGGGCAGGAATATGAAGGGTAGCCGGCTTCATTCTGACAGGAGCCGTCGTTGAGTTTTCGAAATTTGTGGTTATGTAAGTTGGCAGTGTCAAGAGCTGTCGTGCCATCGTGACTTGTATTGTATTTAAAAAAAAATCTTTCCTGTTCAATTCTCATTGTTCTAATATTCCTTTCGTTAATATAGTTTAGTGTTGTGCTCCCAGTATTAAAGTAGTCTATTCTGATTGATAATTTGTTACAAACTCTGTCTCTCAATTGTTCCTACCAGAAATTGTGAAACCTTCTCTATTAATGTATTTCCGAGTGATATTTCTTTGTGACATAAGTGGATACATTCAATATTGGGTCTTACAGACTCATTACAAGTAAGATAATCAGAAGCCTGATCAAAAGCTAATAATCGATACTACTGATTCTACCTCTCATTCAATTTAGGTGTTGAGCATCACGAAATAGGGAACTATTGTAGTGTCTGTAGCAACCATTTTGAGAAGGAATGATTTTTTTTAATTTTCGAGTTACTGGGTGACTTTATCGTGATACTGAACTCAAACTCTCTGAACAAACTGCGCCGCCGGCCTAGACTGCCGAGAGCACCGCTGAATAAGCTGCTCAGCTCGTTTACGATTTTCAAGGTTATGTAGGTTTGACAGGAAAACAATTGAAATATGTGTTTCCTCGAGTTGACCGTATGGCAGCACTACTGTATCGACCACAGAAACCTGTAGCCTGTAGGTGATTTTCCTTGTTTGAGCAGGTTTGAGCAGATCAGATACTACAGCTCACTAATTTTTTTTTCTCCATATCCAGCAGACAATGGCTGAACTCTGCAGTGATCGTTAACAATTTCTGTCTCACGTCTTATCACTTTCACCAGTTGGCGCTACTGAAACGAGAGAGTCGTGAGGTTTATGTCGGTCAGAAATCACGAAATTTCGTCGGATATCCCTAAAGACTGTGGTCTGTTTTATCGAAGATATTTCGAAAAAATGATGTAGAGGCCAAATGACACAAAAGAAGTATATTTATCAGTTCTACCAACTCTGACATACGCTTCAGTAGCACGATATGAAGCTGTTCGTTTGTGCTTGCTCTACCTGCTGAACTTGATTTTTTCTATGACTTTCTCTGCTCACAACAGAGACAACTATGGAAAAAAATCAACTTCAGCAAGTTCAGCAATACAAACGAACAGGAATATTAGCTCTCAAGAGTTGATAATCCTTGGGTTATGACACCGTCTTTACAAGTTTATCAATCTTGATTATAGTAGTAACTTTATTTTTCAGAATTAAATGTTGGCGACATTGGATCAGTTTGAAATCACGTGATGACGTGATCATGAATTTGCCCTTCAAGTGACATTTGTAGTCTGCTATTGGTGAAGTGAGGAGCGCAGGAAAAATGTGAGTTTCTATAAAATTTAATTATTCGTCATTATCATTTTCATTTCATTCGTATTTTGTTGAACTATTTATGTTGATTTGAACAATATCAATTATTTTTCAGACTTCTTAATTATTGGCCGTTGTCCTTACCATATTCGGGACATTTTTTTGTAATGTTCATTATCGGTTAAACATAGTTTTTTTTTTTAATATTTCTCGGATTTCATGTCTTAATGGAGTTCTAAATGCCAACATTAGCTTTTTTAAACTTTGAAAAAAATTTAGAATATGTGGGCAGATATTTGGTATTCCCATCGGATACCTATTCTAAAGATCTAATAATATAATAAGTACCTACACTCCTACTTTTCCATCTACTTATGTAATTTCATTAGACATTTATTTATTAGGTTTATTAGTAAAGAACGCAGTGATGAGAAATTATGAATGTAATTCTTACTGAAAAATACGGAAAATGCCGGGTTTGACGTAACCGACCTCAATGACCTTCACTGTCTTTCCACCTACTATCCATCTCAAAATTCTCAAATCCTTTATTGATGGTTACTTCTAATAATTTTTTTATTTGAATTCCATGTTTTTATCTAAACGATATTATTAGTCCTATCCAATAATAGATCCACAACTCCCTAAATGTATGTATAAAGTAACATATTCTACTTATTCTCCCATTTCTCCCATAACCAAACCAATGTATTACCAGAAAAGGTGGGGAAATTACTTTCGGGATTCACCCCCAGCAAAGAATTCCTCTTTACCCTACACTCTACGACTCGCTCAGCGCCAGCGCTCACAGCCTTCTCAAAAATCCTGAGGAAGGGGGGTCAGTTGAGAAACAGAACCACCTCTAAGAAATAGTTTTTTTAATACATAGAACTTTTGAACAAAAAAATGAAAATGAAATTGTTTTTTGATAATGAGTTCATTGTGATCAAAATGTGAATTTAACTTCCTCTAGCAGGAAAAATTATACAGGGTTGGGATGAAGTATGGCACCAAGCAAATATCTCGGTAACCGTTTGTTAGATTTTTTTGAATTTTTGTACAGGGTGATTGCAAAACGTGTCGGATTTGAAAATGTTATCGCCAATGTTGCCACTTCTTCAGTTATTCCGGAATTATCATTAACTTCCCTTTTTTGAATAGAACACCCTGTATTTTGATGAATCTTCAGATTCTCCCTTAAAAGCTGATTTCATCGGGTCTAGCGGAACTGATTACAAAATTGAGATTTTTCAACTTTGAGATTTTTTTGTGTCGAAACTATTCATAATTGGTCAAAACGGCTCACATGTCCTTGTCTTAACTTTTGATTTACTATCTACTGACATTTAATTAAAACAGACACGGGGTGATCAGAATTCTCATTCTTGAAACACCCCGTATTCGTTTCAATTAAATGTCAGTAGATAGTAGATCAAAAGTTAAGATAGGGACATGTGAGCATGTGAGCCATTTTGACCAATAATGAATAGTTTCAACACAAAAAAATACTAAAGTTAAAAAATCTCGATTTTTAACACCCTATATCTCTGTAATCGATCCCGCTAGACCCCAAGTGTGTTAGATCGATGAAATCAGCTTTTCAGGGAGAATCTGAAAATTCATCAAAATACAGGGTGTTCTATTCAAAATAAGGAAGTTGATAATATTTCCGGAATAACTGAAAAAGTGGCAACATGGCGATAACATCTTCAAATCCGACACCCTGTACATCAATTAAAAAAAACGTAACAAATGGTTACCAAGATATTTGCTTGGTTCCATACTTTTTCCCAACCCTGTATATTTTCAATATCCTAATGCAAATAGGTGGTTGATCATCAGATAGTTGATCTGACAGTGACAGTGATCAGAATCAACATGGACTACCTACATATTAACAAAAATTAAAAAGTCTACCGAGTCTCAATTTCCATACGGTTGAGGTCTGAGGTGTTATTTTAGGAATTTATTGGGAATTGCGGGAATTTGATCTTAGGTATTTGATGGAAATTGGATACGATTTGTGAGAATTTGAAGGGAATTGTGTGAATTCTAGGGAAATTGTGTGGGTTCAAGAAGGATTGTGGGAATTTTATCTGACAATCAATGGAGATTGGTGTATAAAATCCACATTGGTGAAATATCCGTTGCAGTCAACTTGATGAACTGGAATCCTAGAATGTCAATAATGTCATAGTAGCAGCATATGAAATTACTGAGATCTGAATGAATTTGATCAGGAGGGTAGGTACTCAAATATAAAAACCAATGATCTAATTATGAAACTCCTGGATAGAGAGAGAGAGGAATTGACGACAACATAAGAGTGAGACGCAAGGTGCAATAATCTGGGACAAAACTTGCTGATAGTTGTGTACAAATTTTGCCACCATGCTAATTGCATTCTAAATGTGATATTGTAAGTTATTTTCCTTAGATTCGAATTTTTAAAGTGCATTTATGTACTTTGGCTGACTGAAATCCATACACCAATCCATTAATGTGTTAGAGCAAACACTCTTTCATTTGACCAACATTAATCAATTTAACAGGTTGAAATTTCAAATGGAATTAATCCATCTAAGTTAGTAGCAGCACTATTTTCGAGAATGTTTCGCCCATCTCTGAAGATAATATCCGATGGACCAGTGTAGAACTCAAAATGTGGATTAGAATACAGTGCGAGTGAGTGGTCCTTCGGATATTATCTTTCGACGGGGGCGAAATATTCTCGCAAATATTGACGATCTGTCACTAACTTATTATCCCCTTTCATTACCTTTTTCTTTCAACTTATCACATAGTAGTATAGTATATCCGTAATAATGACAGCAATTAAATCGCTATGCCGTGGATTTGTCTCAGATTGAGGGCAGAGATAGGCTTTTGAGATTTTAGTGCAAATTACCGCACATATTGCAATTTTTCAATTATTTTGCTCAGGGTAGTGAATGGCACGGGTGCCTTTTGATAAAATATAATGATTTAACATGCCTTTGAAACATATAACACACACACTCGACAATAGTTGGCATTTTAATAAACTTGTTAAAACACTTTTTTTTTTAAATCAAAATTCAAAATGATTCGGGCGCATCGGGCGTCTGGTGAAAAGATTATTACACTATAACCACGATAATATGATAGACATCGGCATCCAATTTAAAATACTGTTTCAGGTAACATCTAAAAACGGCTGAAGATGAACTTTTATAAGTCCGAAACATGTCCCCTTGATTGATTTGCATCAGTAATAAAGTAGTGGGGATGACTTTGAGCTTTTCCTCCTTCCTTTTGAAAAATGTCATTCCACTTTGAGCAAACATGGACTCCTACCACTCATTGATTTCGTTTTTTTCCCCATTGAGAAACAGCTGATTTGCAGAATATCATTCATGCAGCTTATCAAAAACTATGTTACATTTATCTGTCATCCCTACATCGGATTTATCCGGATTCATCTAATATGATAACAGATGTATCATCTGCATATAGCGTGAGTGCTGCGGGTATCGATAAGTTACACAAATCATTCATATACCGGGTGTCCCAAGTTATCGTATACAGGCAGATTTAGAGCCTCATTATTGGGATCTCGTAAACCGTAAGAGATACAGTGTTGGTTAAATTATGACAAATTGGCTCAATTTTTTTGTTCAACAAAATGCCGCTCTGAAACTTGAAAAATTCCGAATAATTTCGGAGATATACGAAATAAACAGAACTTTCCTTAAACCCCCTTTATATATATTTTTTCAAGTAATTTGAAGAAATTAATCAAAATAATTGACATTTCATCATGGCTTATTCTTCTTTCCTACACGTTGGTGTTTTCAAATTTGAAATCCAACGTTTCTATTCAATTTTCTCACGCCTTTGGATGACTCAAAAGCTATGTTTTGTTTGAATTGACATTTTCTGTATTTTTTTAATATTCAATTCAAAACAAACTGTCCATTTTTGTAAACGAAACATTCGAAAATGCAAATCTGAATGTGCGAAAAAATAGAATGAAAAATCCTGGTTCGTATTAAAAATTTTTTTTTCCGTATGTCTTCAGAATTTTCCAATTTTCAAAACGGCATTTTGTTAGGCATAAAATTGCGCAACTTTGCCAAACATTCACCGACCCTGTATCTCTTACAGTTTACGATATCCCAATAGTGATATTCTTTCTTTCTGAAGTAACTGACATATTTCACTTGATCAAATTCTTTCGAAGGAACGCATAATAAATGATTCAGTTCCCTTCTAGGGTATATACAGAGTGTCCGCTAAAATAAGGTCAATCCATTAACCATATATCCCTTGAACAAAATCAATATGAGTTTCTGAATACCATTTTTCATTTCAGCCCTTTATATTCGATATACATGGTGTCAAAGTTTAAAATTTAAAACTGTTTTTTTTCTAATTAATCGCGTATTTGATAAGATATTGATCCCAAAATTGGTACATTACTTCAGCACAAAGAGTTACATCTGGTTACATCGTGTGAGAAAATCAAAACAAAAAATAACTGTCAAATATTCAAAATACTGGGGGTCAAGTACACACTTACACCCATATTTGTTTTGTACGTGCGCTAATGACTTTCTACCTATTTTTCTATTTATTTCGTCAAAATTGGAAGAGGGCGTAACTTTTTACGTACGGAAACGTAAATATGGAAATACCGCATGCTCAGAGCGAATGTAATAAAATAATTTTCACAAAAAAAATTTATAGAAATTCAACACGTCTAAATAAATTGACCGATTTGACCTCCAATTTTTGAATACACATGCGAGCCCTTTTAATTAAGGAAAATCTTAGCCTTTGAAAAATATGTGGCTTATACACAAAATCTTCCATACATCCCCAGACAATCCTGATCTGCTATTTATTTCATCAAGTAGCTATTAAAATCATGGATATCATAATTTCACCTAAAATTTCCGAAAATATTTTCTTTAATTTTTTTCCGATTTTATTTTCCGTTTCCCGTATCTCAAAAAAATAATTTCCTCAAA